ATCAATACAGAGGAGTACAGAACTGTCTTCTAAGACATTCAGACGTGCAATTCACATAATGTTGACGTGAACTGCTCTATTCAAATACACAATATATTAGAAAGAGAAGAGAGGGAGGAGGGATAAGATCAAAAATGGGAGAGAAGCTCTTCCTCAATTATTTTATGTACACATATTCCTAGTGAAAGAAAGGAACTAACACTGAGTTATACAGGCAACAGTTCCATAATTAGAGCATTTTTTCCATTAAAACATAAGCTTGCATTGCATATAGTTATATAGAATGTTTAACACAGGTCTGGGCTTGGGGACATGTCAGTTTTACAAAGCTGTATAATATTTATATTATAGTCATGTTTATATTCTCATAGCATCTTCAAAATAATTGTGAGAGAAAATGTATGCACTGTGAGCATGAAAACAATTGAAGATCTAAGAAAAGCTGTGTCTAAAAATAAATGTGAAGATAATTTATGAAGTTTCTGTAGAAACACCTGAGGTTGGTCCTCACCATGTTGAGCTTTGGATATGACTGCATTCTTCCCTGCCCTTTATTGAGAATCACTCATTAAAGGACAAAATGCAGAGACTGCTCTCTGCTCTACTGTTGTCTTTGACAGTGAGGGTAGGAAGCAACGTGTTTGAAGATTCTCAATACAAGTGTTCGTCTTTCAGTATGTGTTCCAGAGAGATACAGAAAACCACATCTATATATTTCTACCTACTAAAAGAACTTTAAAAAAAAAACTTCCAAAGGCAAAAAGGTGGATGATATTTATGATAGGGAATAGCAGATGACATTTAAATCTCGGGAAATAAAAGCCTGGGACATGATAGAAAGAGAAACAGTATTAGCCCGGTGCTTTGCCATGGAGTGGCAATGGGGATTTAGTTAGCGGCAACATAAGGGAGAAGCAGTTAAATGACATCCTTTGAACTTATTTCTTTTCTGACCTTTTGAAGTTGCCAGGTTCAACTAATTTTCTCCTCATGGTTATATCTGAAGTGGGTTCCAGAGGCAGCACAAATATTTTGTGCATCCCGATTTTCCATGGGCACGAAATAAGATAGAAGTAAAGAACTCGTTGGTTAATGAAGCCCCACTAAATTAGATGATGGCCATTCTATCAATACTATTCTATTTCACAAATACACACTTAGGAGATTCTGGGAAATATTCTAGCACCATAAAACAGATAAAGCAAGATATAAATCCAAGAAGCCAGGCGGGCAAATCAAATAATGTAAGATGCCAAGGAAGAGGGAACATGATAAAAATCTCAGCTATGATTCAATAAGTAAGTTAATTATTTAAGTTACCTGGGGAAGCTTTCAGGTTTTTGAGAAAGGGGTGTATGTGTGTATCCCCCCCCCCATGTAATAGAGGGCAAAAAGACTTTGGCTTGCTTTAATTCCACCCAAATGTCAATTGTATACTACACAGAGTTAGGAAGTGTTTCCTGAACTAAACACAGCCATTTCGGATGTGAATACCAACAGTGCGGAAAACAGAGAGAAAACTGCATTTTTTTCCCTGCTTTTCTGAATAACTTCCTAATAAATATAAAGTGAATGAGCCCACTAGTACCACCGCATATTTTAAAATAAAGTCATGGGGCCATAAATTCATCTGTAATTGAAAGATTACTCAGATTATGATTGCACCTTGATTTTCCAAACATAAAACTTTGCTGATGGATCAGAAAAGTATGGTTGTAAATAGAAAATGAATTTCATTTTACTCATGAGAAACTTCTGACCTTGCATGGAAAATATTCTCAGATGGGCACAGTGATAAAGCTAAAAAGGTGTGCCACCTTGAGTAGAAAAATAAAGACCATCACTTTTCTTTAACACATTATTTAAAATAAGGATTTCTGAACAGTTGTAGTGTGGGTTCTAACTCTTTATGCATATTGTATACTTAATGTGCTAATTCCTTTCTGTTCACCAATAAACAATGAAAGAAACCTGGAAAGCAAAGCCCTCAGGTACAAATTCTTGAAGAGAATCATTATACCCTCATTGCTGTGAGTTCCCTTGGTGTGCTGCAACAATCTCAAGCTCCCCAGGTATCAGGCCTTAAATCTGTGCATAGTTTTAAAGAAATGATTCATGATGAGTATATTCATATAACAGGGTCACGTGCCATCTCAAGGGATCTATTCTATCCTGCTAAGCATGTTTTATGGGTGATTTTTTTTTTCATCCAGCATGCCACCAATGGTTAAAGTATTGTTCATTGCTAAATGAAGGATTACTTTAAATAAATATTGTTCATCAGTTTCTACTTAATACCAAATCAAGTTCTTTTTTTTTTTTTCAGGTTAAAGACTTCCTGTTACAGTTGATAAGTATACGATATGCATAGAGAGTTGCTGCTATAAAATTGTTCTTCACAGCTTCAAGAGCTCAAGAAATATACACTGGACACCCAAAATGCTGCCCAAGTAAATGTTACAAGTCTTAGGGGGATGTGGGTGAACCCATTTGAAGTCGTAAGAGTTTTAAAGGCTGTAGATGTTCAAGCAGAAGATTTGCCATTAACAGATCTAGTAACTGGAAATACAAGATCCAGGTTGCAGAAGTGAAAGACTAAAAAAGTTTAAATGACAGGAAGACAGAACAAATCTCAGATTATTGGGTATCACAGGATACCTTGGCACTTAACTGAGCAGTGTTGGGCATAGGACAAGGAAGGTGAGCTTCCAGTGCCCAGCTTTGAATTAAGCTATCCCGGGAGTTGCTAAGAAGGCTCTCTGTTTTCAGAACACATTTTCTCAACTTCCAGCCCTCTTCAGCGTCCAGAAAAAAAATTATCAAAGATGATTTAAAATCCTGCAACTGCTCCAGCATGAAATGACTAGGCAATGAGGAGCTTCAAATCTGCTAAAGCAGAATCACAGAATATTATTATTAGTTTTAGTATTTAATAAGAGGGATAGCCCTAGAATTTCATTCAGCCACAGAGCTCAGGGAAGTGGAAAAACATGTCTGGGCATGATGATTATGGAGAACTCCCTTTGAGGGGGGGGGGGAAATGTAACCCTCAGAGAACATCCTTCAAAGACACCAGGTCTCTCGGTTAAAGAATCTCCTCTGTCTCTTTCTCTATCTCTCTCTCTCTCTCTCTCACACACACACACACACACATGCATGCACACACACTCCGGACAATATTCTTGTAAAACTGGACACAGCTGAAGAAAGACGACAGCAAGGCAGAAATTTCAGTTGTGTTTAGCGTGAACGATAGGGTTCATTTTGCATGCAGTGAGGTACAGCGGCGAGGCTGAATGGATGGAAAATCCCACTCTGGAATCTCACCTAAATATCTCTTTCCCACATACAGTTTTCCAGTTGAAAAGCTCCTATCATGAAGCCAGGGGTGACTGTCCAGGGAGGGTGCTTAACCATAGAGATGGCTGGCAGGAATGCTGAAAAGAGGACAGGTGCTTGAAAATGACCCAACCCAACCTCAGCCCCTTCTATCTGCTTCGCGAAGGTACCGGATGCGAGAGGGCAGCGATCCCGCATCCTTGGTCCCCATTATCAGATCGCGAGTGCCTCGAAGCCCGGCGCGAGCCGGCGGCGGGCAACTCAGCGGGGCTGATCTGATGAGAGGCTCAGGCGCTCCAAGGGATTGTCGGATCGCGCCTCTTCAAGAGGAAACTCTTGTGGAAGCTTCAGGAAAGGGTGGTAAACTTAAAAGACCTTTTCTCCCTCCCGCTTGCTGGGTTCTCAGCTCCATCCTTCCACGGGAGCCCAAGTGAGCAGCTGCCAGCCTGCTTTGCCATTACGGACTAATGTTGTGCGTTTGCACCGATCAACAATTAACGTTGTTTGATTTCTTACATTTAGCAACCCAAGCAAACAGCTGCCATCTCCGCGCTTGCGGAAGCAAGTGCCGAGTCGGTGACCTGCCGCCGGCTGCTTGCCCGCAGGGAAGGGTCCAGGAAAAGGAAACTTTACGGTTTCCACACCTGGGGTCGGGGAGGCTTTGGTCCGGGGAGGGGAAAGGCGGGGGACAGTGTGGATACCTGTTGGCGTCAGCACCGGCGGCGGCGGCTTTGCACGGTCCCCAGCCTGGGCTGAAGCCTGGGGGGGACGCGGGTAGGTCCCTCAGGAACCTGTTACGCGCTGGCAAAAGCCAGGTGAGAACCACCTCCCTGGCTCTGCGAGGGGCGCGGTCGTTCCCCCCCCCAACCCCACCCTCCCTACACACACACACCACACTAGGGTACGCGGAAGCGACTAGGTTCTGCCGACGCGGAAAGAGGGGGTACCGAGGAGTCCCTGGCTCGGGGTCCTCGGGGAGCTGTCTCGCGGGTTTGGAGAGCACCCCACCTGGGGGGTCGGGCCTGGGTGCCAGGCAGCGTCTTGGAAACCGCAGAGCCGCTAGGAGGCCCGGGAGCCCCCAAGTTTGCAGCGGGCGCTGCGCCTCCCAGGCTGGAGCAGCCACTTGTGGGAAAGCCTCGCGCTGGGGCTCCCGCTGCCGAGCGGCGGCCGCGGCCCCGCGGCGGGGGTCGCCCTCTCTCTCTCCTCGGGGGTGGGGAGGGGCAGCAAACCCGCAGTCGGGCACCCGACCCTTCGCCTCCTTCCAGTGGGGCTCGTAGCTTCCTCGCCGCCCGCTGCGGGTGCTCCCCATGCACCGCACGCACCCCGCAGTGGAGCGCGCGGCTGCAGCGGCGCCTGCCTGCAGCGGGAGGCTGCGAGCTCGTCCGGCGGCTGCAAGGAGGGAGACCCCAGGAAATTGGAGGGGCGCGACTCCCTAGATTTTTGCAGGGCAGTTTGCAAAAATCGCGTGGCCAAAACCCTGAGGTGCCCCCAGATACCGTGGCTGCACGGGGAGAAGCCGCAGCTCAGTCTTGCGCCGGGACTGGGGACCTGCAGCCACCATCTGAGAGGAAAGAGGCGCGCCAGGTGTCTGAAGGAAGGGGGGTCCCTAAAAGAAACGGGGTCTTCGGGGCCGGGAAAAACGGGGCCGGGGGGCCACTTACTCTTATGGGGCTCGGCGGGGGACGAATTTGCAGCTTCTTAGTTCACAAATGGCTGGAGGGGCTCGGGGTCGGCTCCCTTGGGCGGCGAGCACCGACCGGTTCCCGCGCGCTGGGCAGGCGCCTCCGGATTCCGTTCATGCCGCTCGGAGCTGCGGGCTTCGGCGCGGAGACGCGGGGCGGCCGCGCTGGGCTCGGGGTGTCGGCGGCCCAAAGTGCAGCGGCTGGGTGGACGTTCCCGTCCGTGCGCAGAGCGGCCACCGCCGACGAGCTTGGAGGAGGCAGGGAGGTGCCAAATACATCCACGGATTCCGGGCTGGGCGCTCCGGCGTGCGAGCCCGCCTGCCTGCCAAATGTAACTGTGAAGTGATGTGGAAAAGTGAGCCGGGTGCCTCCCCTGACGGATCTCATTGGGCAGAGCGCAGAGGCAGGTCTGCCACTTGGAAATTCGTGTGAGCAGGCCCCCACCCGCCCCCCGCGCGCCGGCTGGCTCGCCCGCTCGCCCCCTCCCCAGTGGGCGCACAACTTTTCGCTCCGCGCGCCCGAGCACGCCCCGCGCGCCGCCGCCGCCAGGGCCGCGCTGCCGGGCACGGGCGGGCGCTCGCTTAAGGCTGCGGAGGCGGCTCCGCCGGCGCGGGCGCGCCCCTGCTGCCTGCGCTCCGGCGCCGGTCTGCGCTCCACCAGCCTCGCGGGGACCCGCGGCGGGATTCGGGGAGCGGCGGAGCGGTGCGCGTGGGCAGCTTCCCTCCCCGAGCGGCGGGCGGGCGGAGTGGGGGTGTTTGTGAGACCGCCGCCTACTCCTCAGGCGCTGGCGGGGGGCGCGGGCGCTGGGCCGTGGTCTTGCGGGTGGGGCGCATTCCGGAGGTCCCCGACTTGGAGTCTGATGGGAAGATGGGGTGAAGAAAAGCAGCGGGGCTGCAACGAGGGGCGCGCGGGAAGGCGGTGTGGGAAGAAAGGCCCAACTTGCTGGGGGAATAAAGTGCCAGAGTTTGGGGGCCGGAGGGCCCCTATGGCCCCAAGGAGAGGTGCTCCGTCGGTGCCCCGTCCCGTCTTTGATAGACGCACCCCAGATCCTGAGACGTGGCCCCTCCGGGGCAGAGGCATGGCCAGATGCAAGCAGGAATTAGACGGGCCGGTTTTCTTCTGGACCCTTGCGATGTGAGCCTCACAGGGGACACACGCAGCCCTCGTGACCATCTTTTGGTAGAACTAGGGGGCGATGAGATGAACTAATGGCTATTTTGTTGTTGTTGTTGTTGTTTAATTCCCCTCCACAGGGCGCACGGCTTAGTCCATCCTGTGCGCTAGGATGAACTCGGGGACTCACCACCCGGGACCAGGATGCAGCAGCGGCGAAAAGCATGCCGAGGACCAGACTCAAGGTCTATGGAGCTTGTGCTGTTTGACTCACATTAATGAGACGGGGTGAACAGATAAAGTAAGCACAATATGCTCATAACATAAGTGCAGATTGGACTGTGTGTGTGTGTGTGTGCTTGAGAGCGCGCGCTGCATCTAACTTCCCATGGTAGCATGTTGAAAAGAATATTGACTATGGGTCTAATTATCTCCTTCACATTCTAGCTGCCACAGGCAAGAAACTTTGTAAATTATTTCATAGAGAGATGAACAAAGCCTCGAGGTTCTTGCATCCCCCCCTCCCTTTCTGGGTCACTGAGTAAACGGTTCTCAGACTGTCTGCTTTCTGTCCTAGAGAAAGGAACAGACCTCAATCAAATGCTAACGGCTGGACCAGGCAGTCCCAAGTGGACGGTGAAATACATCACATCTTGGTCTATGCTTAATTTTCAAACATTCATTTGCACTATGGACAAATGGTCTGAACCTTTCATGGGGTGCCTGCTTCCATCTCGGAGAACTCGAGAAGAGATGAAGTGTTACCGAAGACTGGGAGTTGTCACACATGACAAACTCATCTCAAAAGAAAACCAGAATGGTAGAGATAGACGAATCTTCACATCTCATTGTCTTAAAGAAAAATAACTATTTTGAGAAAGTGAAGAGTCAGAATCCAGTGACTTGCGGTGTCGGGTTAGGCTGAGTGTGTTTTGACTCACCTTGTCTGCATTTACTCTAAGAACAGTTACACACGTTCTCTTCATTGAATTTGACTAACTAGAATTCAAGGTACCTCTCTACACCTGCTAATCTCGGCTCAAAGCGGTGCAATGTGAATTTCCTACTAATTTCCTCCTAATTCTTAGGAGAGGTCTGGATGCTTAAGCAGTGTGAAAGAGGATTAGGATAATTTTTAAAAGCCCTATAAGGATATTTCTAAAATAATCAGGGATGATGACAGACAAGGCATTTACCTCTTTAACAATTCCACCCACTTTTTAATAGGATGAAGTGCAATGTCACAATGGTGCGAGCCTAACTCCTTAAAGTGTTTGCAACATCCTCTCCAGGTTTACAGCCTTCCTGCTGGAAGAGGACTGTGCTATATAGGCTTTTTAGGATGGTGATTGAAATTGCCTGTGTTGTGGAGCATTGTGGAGGAGGCAGGGCGAGAAATTATCTGGTAGGGCAGGAGTAGAATCAGAGGGGTGGGGGAGGGGAGAGATAGGGAAGGTTGCTTTCACTATAACCTTGGCTGTCCGGCTGCTAGAGTGGCGTGAATCTGGATGGCTCAGCCTGCCTTTAGGTGACAGGCATTTTTGCAGAGGAAGGGGATGGAAGTCTCCATGTAGTAGAAGAAATACCTTTCTTTTTCACTACGGATGGAACTTTTGTTACCATAGTGACTAAGGAAGACAGTAACTCAGGTGACTGGTTAGTTAAGGGAATCCTGGTTTCTAGAAGCAGAGTCTTTCAGGGAGGTGGGAGGCCTAGAAAAACCCCAGCTTCTGTAGTGGAAGCAGGAGGAAGCAGAAAGGAATTTATGAGTTGTTACATTAAAGTGTAACCTACTTTCATCTCCCAAGCCTAATCAAGCCACCCCCCCCCAAAAAAAAAAGCCTCCCCTTCCCCCTCCCCCCAAGAAAAAGTGTGTTTACCTCGGTATGAATAGCAAAACTCTGAGGTTTATTGAATTGCTGCTAAATTTAGATTGATTGATTCACAGACTATGCTAAAGATAGGGTTGGTAAGTGTGAGTCCCACAAATGAAGGGATTTCACAGTGTGATACCTGCCAGGGATATTTTAAAATAAAAATTTAAATAAAAACTTTTAGATTCTAAAATTTGAAGAGATTCCAAAGATCAATGTAACACCTGTTCATATATACTATTTTCCAGGAATACCGAGTCCTCCCCTCACATTTCCTGTTAGGGAATCCTACTGAGAAATCTGAAAACCAAAATGTATGGAGATGTGGAGTAGGGAGATTGTGGGTGTCGGTATATAGAACAACTGTGGCATTAGGGAAAAGAAAATGATTTTTTTTATTTTAATGTTGGCCCATATAAAGCATAAGATTGAATATAAAGAAAGCACTTTGAGGAAGTTTGTCAATAATGAAGTGCATTTAGAAGTTGTTTATTTTTTTTTTAAGTTTGTTTTAAGCTAATCTCTACTAAAATCATGGTGTTAAAATGTGAATGTGAGCAGTTACTGGGTTGCCCTAACTGAGCATTTTAGCTCCACTCCTTCCTCCCAGTCTTAGTAAAACCTATTAGAAATGCAAATTCGTGTGCCCTGAATTTGGGTGGGGCTTTGGAACCTCAGTCTTTAACAAAAGCTCCAGGAAACTCTGTTGCTTGCCAGAGTTTGAGAATCACTGCTTTAGGCAACCTTTTTCTCAGGTTATATATATAACGATGAAAATATAATAAAAGTGATATGTTAATACTTTTTTAATCTTGGAACATCCTAAAACAGAATCTTTAAAAAAAATTTAGAAAAAAAATGTGAATGCATATTAAATATAGCATATGATTACTTCACTAATTTTTATTATGGGATTTTAAAAGCAAAACACATTTCTTTAGAAGTGATTATGAATTCTTGGGGTAAAATTATCATTGAGTTTGCTATTCAGCTTTGTGATGCTCTGCATTTCTTGGCTGCTGGTTTAGCTGTCCCTGAAATTAGGCCTGTATCTCTTAATATTGACTGTAATTACTAATCTTGAGCTTGCCATTATATTTTCAGTAAATGGAGGTGTAAACACTCTCTGAAAACCACATCTGTGCTTAGAACATTTTGGAGAAGGTTTTCAGAATGGCATTATCTCCTATCTTCCCAGGTGCTAAAAAAGAGATAAGCTCCAATTCAGCTCCTATACAGAAACTGAGGGAGGGCAGGAGATAGATTTAAGGGGATTGGTACAAAGCTATCCAATAAGCCAGCCCTGCTTTTGTGGAATACACACTTAGCATTTCCATTTGTTTTTGTGGCCACCTTTTTTTCTGAAAGAGAATTAAAAAAAAAAAAAACAGAACAAGATCCAAGATCTTAGACAAGGGAACCATCAGGAAGAACTGAAAATAGTTCACATTGTGTTGAAAAAGAAAATAAAAGAGAGAGAAAAACAGGGAATCCGTCCCTTCTATCCCCACTAAAGTTCTACTAATTTGGTATATCAGACTGTATTCAATAATAAAACATAATTAAATTGAATTGACCTTAACTCTCAAAATGTTACCAATGTTGGAAGCTTGCATGTTTATGTCAGTGTATCACTGAATATATACAGAGGAATACAGATGTATAGGGGGAAAAAAAGGTGACTTTATTATACCTAAAATAGAATTTCTCCTTATTTGGTGTCCAGTTGATGATTAGAAAAAAGACAGCTAACTTTGCATTGGGCAAATGCACCAAGAAGTTGCAAGAAAACTACATTACTGAGACAGTGAACAGAATTTCTTTATTAGTCAAAGGAGCCTAATGCTGTGAACAAATAGTTTTGTTTGTTCGTTTATTAAAGCTGCTGCTGTTTGGAAAAGGGGACACTGCATTTAGGTTGCAGGCTCCTGCCTGCATAAGCAACTGGACCTGTTAGATTGTATGTGGAGGCTTTTTTTTTTTCCTTCTACCTCAAGTGCCCTCTAGCGTGCAATATCTGAGCAGGTTGTTGTGTAGAAGGAAGCAGAAAGGAGAAAGACAAAAAAGAAATATTCCTAATTCTTGAATTGCTCTGTTTTCCCTTATTTCTCCAAGGGGTCATTTGTACCTAAGTGTTTGGCTAAACAAAGAAAAGGTGCTGTTGTGATTGCATGAAAAACAAATCACTCCTTTACTAAACTAGGAAACAAATGCTAATCCTTTCTCAAGGGTTTCTATTAAACATTCATCATAATTTTCCAGAAGTTTCATATACTCTAGTAATCAGGCATATAAAAGAAGGTAAGTTGCTCCCTAGGAGGAAATTCTGTTTTGTTCCTAGTCTGCTATATGACATCTGAAGCAAATTGATTAACCTCTCCATGGGTTTTAAGTCTTTGTCTCCATAAAAGTGCATAATACTTCTTTCTTGCCTCAGGGGGGTGGTATGAGGCCTAATTGAGGTTTATAAAACAATTTGAGTTCCTCAGATACAATTTGGTATACAGTGGAACCTGGCTTTCATCTTACATCAACTAACAGGATGTTGAATATTCCTTGGTAGTCCAGAGGGAAACTGATCAGGATCCATTTTTTAGAAACATGTCATTAGAATGACTCTTGTAAATAATGGATTTGCTCAAGAGACTTGGGATGGTAGGAAGAATTTTTGGAGAAAATTGCACTCGGTTTTGCAAATATTTCTGTGTGTGAATAAATAGAACAAAATAGGCAAATTTCCTACAAGACATGTAACTGGGCATATCTCCCTAAATTTTAAAACAAATTAACAATAACAGAAGGTAATTTGACTCACCCAAACACCACCCACTAAACACTTAGTTTCTGAGAGAGAAGCAGATACCTGTAAATAAACTTCTGCATTGGCATCTGTTCAGATGGTAGGTTACTAAATACTTTTTTTTTGTTGTTGTTAGCAATATGACTATTTTGTTGCATTGTGTTGAAGCAATATAGGTTTTCCCTACTATCTGAAAGTAGGGTATTCCTGCCTGTGGTCAAAATGGTGTAAAAGTGAAGACACGATTACCATTAATTAATATGGGAAAATCTTGAGTGTTTGACTCATTATTCGGGGTACACACCTCTCCTATAAGGGATGTTGCAAAACTGGACTTTTGCAGGAGACCTAAATGTGAAAATCTTCTGACTTCTGTAAGTGACAAAAACAAGTGCTAATGCATTGATAGACTTTTCAAATAATTTTATCTTAATGGCTATGATACTTCGGGGTAAGGGAAGAGGTAGGCAAGATAAGATTATATCATACTCGTGAGTTCCTTTATATTCAATTTCTCAAGTTTCTGAAAAGGTTGCCTGGCATCCTTTGAGAGATGAGAACACCGAGACTAGAAAAGTGACTTGCTCAAGGTCTCTCAGTTAATAAGTTAAAGTATGCAATAATAAACCTGGGTTTTATGCTTATGATAAAATTTTGAATAATGAACAACCTCACTGTTGAAAAGACTCATAAATTGTTAAGTAGAAGATCAATTAAGTTTTATCTTTCCCCCACATCAGAATTTTTCATTGCATGCAGTTTTATAAATATAAAGTCTAGATTCCATGGTTAGCAACTAAATCAAGCTCGCGAAGTACATGTTTAAAAAAAAAAAAAAAAGCAAGACAAGGTGATTTAGAGGCAAATTTGAATTAGTTCAGAATAATGATGCGCAGTTTTTAGTGTTACCTTGACATGGAGTCCAGGTGAAGGCTGCTATTCGTATTTAGATTTGTATACCACTTGACACATTCCCAAGCACATTAACTGTCTCTCTTGATTCTTGCAATAGTGTGAGGTGATACAATGCATTATTCCCTTACAAAGTTACAAAAGGACCCTTAGGGAATCCTCTGGTTCAATCTCTTCATTTTATCAGAAGAGAATTGGGTAAAGCTTTTAACTTTTGAGCCTAAGGTTACATAACTTGATAAAACCAGGAGCAGACCCTAGGTCATTAGTGTTTAAAAGATATGGCAGGCTGTCACATATGGCCCAAAGGGGGGAAAAAAAATCAGTAAGCTAATAGTCTGACTATTCAAGATAGGGAGTCAGAGATTGTTGAAAAAAATCAATCAAATGTAGTTTAGAAACTCAGATCCAAATGCATGATGTCTAGAAAAAAAACTACTTCCATTGTCTGGTGAGAGTACATTTACTCCCTTTCCCTAGCATCTGCTCAATTTAATAATATGTCTTGTCTGCTTGAATTATTTCAGCACCCTGGAATTGGCTCCCTAATGCAGCCCCAGAGATTCCTTCATCGCAGATCTTGTGTACTACAGACATTTGGAGGGAGGATTATTGGTGAATCAGAGGAAGATGACAATGTAAGCAAGCAATAATTGTGCGTTCCTATGTTCTGATCTGCCCTGAAACTTTCTGTGTCGACTGCTGGTAGCAACCCCAAACAGAAACAACTCATTTCAAATAGAGACGTGGAGGGCTGCTGACTTACGTAGTCTCCCCAAGCAGAGAAAGGCAAATACATGTGACTTGCCTAGATGACACAAGGGATTTATGCTTATTCTTTTCTATATATTTATATTCTCTTTCTCCCCAATTCCCTTGTTCTAGCAAGAAGCACCTTATTTTTTCTTTGCCTATCCCTTACAGCTGCCAATTACACAATTACACTTTTCTGGAATAGAAAATGCTAGTAAGCGCTGCTAACTATAATAATTGGTACTTGTACTATGGAGTGTTTAATGTCTTACTAGGCATTACAGGGATTGATTGGGCATATGTTAAATATGTAATTTATTTTCTCAGAAAACCTGATTCTTCAGATGAAGCAAGAACATGTTTCACTTCTCTAAATCCCAGTTAGTCTCTGCTCCTATCTCCAGTCGCACTGCATAGCGCTATTTGTTGCCTGAAGTGCACTAGTCAAACTAAATCAGGCCTGGGGCCCCTGGGGGCACCATTTAGTTCTTGTCTTGGGAAAGAATTTAACATTGAAATCAGCATTATGCAGCAAAGCAAGAGATTTATTGGTAGATAAGAGGAAGGACAGGGAAGCTTTGGGCAGAGAGGGGTCCTGAGTGAGTAGCTGCTGAGGTACTAGGAAGCAGGAGTCTGTGTCAGTTTAGTGAGCACATAGGGGATTTCCTACTCAGATGTCTCCTCCTCATGTCTCTCATGACTGAGCCCCTGGAGTTTCCTTGTCTGCTGAGGTCCACTGAGTCTCCCAAGTTAACGGGCCTGTCTTTGGGAACCAGCTTTGGTTCATTGTTTTAGCATCCTGGTTGTGTTGATGTTCTCAACAGTCAATTTTTTAAAAGATTTATTATGCATATAGAATTGAAGTACAGATCAGTGGTGTGGGGGTGGTGAGGATCCACCAGAGACAGAGTGGGAAGCAGAACAGGCAGATGGATGAAGTACACTGCTCAGGGGAGCAGCGGGCGGATCAGGAGAGGTCTCTGTGCCATGTGGGTCACCTCCAGGGCCTGGGATTGAACTCACACTGAAGCAGCTACAGCTGGCTTGCATCCTAGCTGGTTGTACCACCAGGGAGGGCCCTCAATGGTCAATTTTTAATTGGGTTGGGGTGGCATCTGCATCCAACCAATTGTTTCTTAATCATATTGATAAATAGGCAGATCGGTTTGGGGATTTGGACTGCCTGCTTCTAACTTCCTTCCTGTACTCATTCTTTGAAAGTGTTAGCTCTGTTCTTTGGGGTTTAGGAGGTGTGAAACCTCCAAGAAAGAATGGGGTATATCAACTCCTATGGGCCTGGGTTCTGCTCCTGGTTCTTAGAGTAGCGAGCAGGATGATTAGTTTCTTAACTTCTGAGTCTCATTTGCCTTTGATATAAGGTATTGTCCGCCTTATGGAGTTTCTGACAGACAAGGTGGTTGTATTCTATGTAGTTATTACCAGGCAGGGTGAGGGACATCTCAGAACCCCTAATCTGGCCAGCTCTAAATAGGTTCTTCCATCTGCCTCATCAAGACAAAACATAATGAAGTCCATAAGACTTCAGTGGAAAGGAACTTTAGTACAATTACTGTGTTAATGGGAGAATAAATAAAACAGTATCCACATGAAACACCCAAAGTTATCTATCTCCTCCTGGGCACATGCCCAGCCACACAGGATTGGCCCAAAGGGGGCCACTGAGGCCTAAAAGCCTGCCATAGTCTAAGGGACCTTCTGGTGGAGACCTTTAGCAAAGAGGGCAGAAGAGGCCAGGAAAGTCTGGAAGGAAAAGAGCAAAATCAAAACCCACGTCAAGATAAAGGCTGCCATTGTCGGTTCCCCATGGATTCCACCCGTACCTCTTTCTGTCAAGTGTCTCCTTCTGTGTCCCCCAAGTTCCGGGGACATGTCCAAAGCTGAAAGCAAGTGCAGCTTCTTAACATGCCTCGTGCTCCTGTGCCTCCCTCCAGTCATCTCCCTTCTCAATCTCTCTCAGCTTCTCCTCAGCCAGGTTCACTCTCTCAGTCTTTCTTTCATTTTTTTCTTGCTTCTCCTCACTGCTCAACTCCAGCTTCCTTAGGTGAGGTTAGGGAGCCTGGGACCTCCCCTTTCTTAAGGATTACCCTGTTACACAATGAAGAGAAAATATCCAGGTGTCAGTGTACATGTCTCTTTCCTCTTAGGTAAGTCCACCACACCTAACCTCAAAAGAGCAAGGGACCAGGAAACTGATCCTTTTGCACTCCCTCAGCTAGATGATGCCTCTTCACTATATGTGTCTGTTGGTGGCTATGAGATGTTCAGTCCAACCTCCATCAGTATTTTAAGTGGTAGATGGTAACTGTTTGCCTGCACACCCTGGGCTTCACCAATCCTTCATCTTGCTTCAGGCCATCATTTTCTATGAAGTTTGGATAAACCTTTTCTATGTAACTACATTCCTTCCTGAAGGTTCAAATATTAAATATTGCCTTTTTTTTTTTTTAATATTGTTTGTCACCTGTCTTGTCATCAAGAGAGTAAAGGCAGCTCATGTTAGCCAGAGATCTGCTTCAGACTCTTGATTTGGTAAGATTAGTATTTCTTTTTAGATTTATTTATTTATGCACACAAGGACTTGGGTACAAGCCAGAGGGGAGGGGAGTGAGAGGATTGACTAGGGAACAGCGTGGGGAGCAGAACAAGCAGATCGATGAAGTACACTGCTGGGGGGAGCAGCGGGCTGGTCAGGAGAGGTCTGCCGCGCCATGTGGGTCACTTCCCTGGCCTGGGATTGAACTCCTGCTGTAGTGGCTTTGGCTGCAGATAGCTTCATAGGGCACTTTAACCCATTGCACCACCAGAGAGGGCCTGGCAAAGATTAATACTTAGCATTTAGGCTGTTAGGAGGAATACTAGGACCCCAAAAGAAAGGAAGGGGTTATTATTATGGTTAAGGTTCCTTGAGGAAGGTGATACCTACTTGTTGCTCAAACTTATCTGGTATCAGTTTTCAGTTAGGAGGGCTCCAGAACCTGTAGCCAGCGAAAGAGACTTGCCACTGGGCTCCACACCAGTGCTAAGAACATTGGGTAGGTGAGTCCCTTGACCAGTTGAGGATTTCAGAGCAGAAACACCCTGCAGACAGTAAGGGAGCCCCAGACCTAGTCTCCATCAGTGCACTCTACTGGACAGTCTCTGTCTACCCGATTATCTGTAAGCCATTGACCTTACAGACTAGAGTGTAACTTAGACCTGGGAGGGTCTCAGGAAAAATAATCTGAACAGAGCTGTCTGTTCAGGGCTGAGTAAGAAGATCCTCTGAGGACTTGCCTGGAGCCTAAATTTGCACAACCAGAACTCTTTTGAGTCTACAGGCCACGTGCATATTAGGAGGTGAATTGTTAGGATACTGCTGGTGATTATGGAGAGGGCCAAACCGCCAAAACTTCCTTGGAACTTCTACTTAATTCCATATTCTGGGGATGCTTTTGGAATCAGCTTGTTGAACAAATATAGCGCATAGAGAAATGGCAGTCTTCTCTTGGGATACCTCTCAGGCAGTAGTGACCACCTGCTCTTTCCAGATGGATCACACATAAATCTTGAGCTCTTAAATTTTTAGTTATGCCCTTGTTGCTATACCTCTGCTGTTCCTTGTGCACATCCACAGCATCAGTAGAAGAAATTGGGTGTAGGTCAGAGGTACAAGGGGTGAGAGGATTCATCAGAGACTAGAATGGGGAGCAGAACAGGTCTATTGAATGGAATCCACTACAAAGAGGAGCAGCGGGCAGGACAGGAGGGGTCTGCTGTGCCCTGTGGGTCAGCTTCCTGGCCAGGGACGGAACTCAGGCTGCTGTGGTGGACCATCATGGTGGCAGCACTGAGATGTAACCACTGGACTATGAAGGGGGCCCCTGTGCTATCATTTTCTTCCCTCAGTAGATTGATCCTGAACTCTTCAAAAGCAGAAATTGTATTGTCTGTGTATCCCAAAAGTAGCCCAAGACTTGATGCACAATTAATGTTCAAGAATTGTCTTATTTACAATAATGAACAAGTGAATATGAGTACAAAGATAACTATGGTATTATTGTCAACAGTTAGCTAGAAATAGACCCAGATTTGGAGTTAAAAGAAATCAGATGGCCCAGCAGATTGGGATGGGGAGCTCAGTGTAGAAAACAGATTTTACTGGAAAAGAGAGAGGGAGAAAAGAGGGTACAAAACAAAGCAAAAAGAAACAAAACCAGGAAGCTGAAGCTTCTAGAGCAGAAATAGAATAGTGAAGATAACAGACTAAAAGGCTGAAAGACTGAAAAAAAAAAATAAAAAATTCTTCCAACTGACACAATTAAGAGTGAACATCCGGAAACTATTCAGATCCCAAATGGCAATTTGCATAACAGTAGTAGTAATACAATTATAATGACACCGAGTATTAAGAATTTCTCTGTTCCTTAGATCCTCATAATTTAGTACCTGGGTGTTTATAAAACAATTTCTCATTCAGGAAGTGATTCTTCTCATAAACCCATAGACCCACAAGGGTCTCCTCCTCCCAATGCTAGAGCTTGAAAATAGATTTCCAGGGTGTTTTCTTCCCCCAGGACAAAGAGTTTCCTTGAAAGAGAGAAGTACTTGGTTCATTTATCTTGAATCCTCAGTAGCACAGAAGAGATACTAGATAAATTTTTGTTGATTTATCATCTCAGTTCTATCCCACAGCAAGCTGCAAGATAAATAGATCCTGTCCAGTACCCCCATTTTTCAGATGACACAACTGGAAATATCTAGTCAGATATTTGAAACTGGGAAGCCTATGAGAGATCTTTGAACACTTCAGCTTTTTCTGCTGTGGCATACTACAGTCCAGCAAGATGGCATGGCTGAGGTGACATTGCTTCTTAAATACTTCTCT